TAGGCAATTGTCCGAAGTTTCCGGCATATCACGAACAAGCGTAAGGAGAATTTTGAAGGTTCACAAATTTTACCCCTACAAGATACAATTGCTTCACGAACTTGATTAGTCAATCGACATAATTGTCGATACTGGAGCAATTCAAATCCACATTTATTTAGAGAGTCTCATACTCAAAATCCTGAAAAGTTAAATGTCTGGGCAGGTATTCTAGGCAATAACATAATTGGACCATTCTTTTTACAAGGCAATTTGACTGGGGCTATGTATCTGACTTTATTTGAAGAAAATATTGTTCCTAGAATAAGGGAAGTTATTGCTGAAGATAATAACTTGTCGCAAAATGAAATGTTTTTTCAACAAGATGGAGCCCCACCGCATTATGCAGCACCCGTTCAGCAATTTTTAAATGAAAATTTTAGAGACCATTGGATTGGCCGAAGAGGACCTATTGAGTGGCCTGCAAGGTCCCCTGATCTTTCACCTCTGGACTTCTTTCTATGGGGCCATTTAAAGTCTAAAATTTATAAAACACAGCCAGCTTCTCTTCAAGTTCTACAAGAAAGAATAACTGAAGAGTGTCAAAGGATAACTACCGATATGTTGCAGAATGTTAAAGAAGAGGTAGAGAATCGATTTTATTATTGCATGAATGTTAATGGAGGACATTTTGAACACTTTATTAAATAAATATCATGTAAATAACTTTTTATTAATAATAATAAAACTTTAAAACTTTAATTAGTAGATATTTTTATTAAGGAAGGTAAGTATTGTTTTTACTTATAATAAAACGTGATCTATTTCCAAGATTTTAACAAGCTGTCATATCAACGGGGATGCTAGCAGCGAGTTCAAACTTGGAGGGTATAATCAGGGCAAAAATACCTTCAAAATGAAGTATCACTCGACCCCCCTTTCCTATTTAAATTTTGGGGGTAACTATCACCCACGCTTAGGGGTTGAAGTTAAGGGGTTGAAAATATAAAAATAAATTGCCCCCCTCAAATCAGAAATCGACGGGTGCGAGCGTTTTTTATTATTTTTCGTAACACCTGAGATAACCGGGGTGGAAACTTTCCATTGGCCCACCCTGTATATATATATATATATATATATATATATATATATATTATAAACGCAATTGCATTTTTATTCACGATATATATTTATAAACGCAATTGCATTTTTATTCGTTAAGCGTTATTATAGAATACGTAAGAAAAAATGAAATTGTGCTGAAAAAATACAAAACGTTATTAAAAGCAAACGTCTTAGCTTTAAAATATTTTCTTTTAGCCTTTTAATTGTGCGTATTAATTTTTAATTGTATTCTACAAATTGTAAAAAGATTTTATTGAATAATAAGTAGATATACCTACTTTTTATTCAATAAAATCTTTTTATTAGAAATACATTTTTATAATAAAGATGCTCCCATAGGAACCTGTGTATTTCACTCCAAAAGTTTTTCTCAGTTCCTAGCTATATTTTTTTAAACACAAAATGCTTTTGCCAACATTTCTATAGAACCATTATATTAATAAAAAAGTTATTGGCTCAACGAACTCTGTTTATCGTTTTTCGTCCGATGAACGAGTTAATTGGGTCAACGAATACTTGTACATTAGTCGATGTTTATAATTTTATCACTCAATGAACTTTTTTAATTGGGTTAATAAAAATGTTTATTGATTCAATACATATTATTATCGAATTGATGGATATGTTTGTAGAATCCATGAACGTATTTATTGATGCAATCAAGATATTCGTTCATTCAATCAACATGTTTATTGATTATATGAAAATATTTATTGATCAAATAAACAGGTTTATTAATCTATGAACACATTTATAAGGTCAACCATTTTTGTTCATAAAACCAACTAACGCATTCATTGATCTAATAAACAAGTTTATTGATCCAATGAATACATTCATTAGATTAATTAACTCGTTCATTAATCTAATGACTATTAATAAAAGAATATATTAAAAATAAATAAACATTTATTGTCAAGAATGATCCATTCAACATGTTTGCCTTGTTTATAGAATGGAAGAGATAAACATATACCCTTACATATTTTTATACATTAATATTAAACAATTGTAGTGTTGTAGGGCCCATAATACTGCCGCATAACGCCCATCTGAAAATATTAAAACAGTATAAGCAGCGCTGCATATGATACCGGGCTACAATGGTATCCATCACATTAAAATTATTTTAAGTAGACACTTCTATTTAAATTATATTTAGTAAATTAAATCGCGGTTTGAATGAAACAGCTGGTATGAATATTTCACCTTTTTTTTAATTTTTCTCATCATGTTTATAAAGGCTTTTTTGTCTAATTTACTATTTATCAACATAGTTATTGTCACTTTTGACAGTTTCGCGCCTTATTATAAAACTAAAGGGTCCAACTGAACATGAACTAAATCTCTACTCAGGATAAGTAGTGTAAAAATTCGCAAATTGTTTCTTCCTAAAATTAGGCTTTGGTTTTCTTTTCATGAGCATGACAAGTGGAACAAATAACCATTAATACATAGGTACATAAGTATCTCGAAAATAGCCAAATCCAAATATGGCAGATGCTGCAAAATAAAGTATTATACGAACAAACGTATTTTTATAAAATTTAAATATAGTTAGTTATATATTATGCTGCCAGAAGTGACAAAATACCCTGAAAACATAAAACTAATAGACCGAAATTCATCATATGTTTTCTATTTTCTTACTTCTATATTACTTTCATCCTCAATGTTGTCCAGCAAACATTTTGTAGTCTTTTCTTTAAGGTTTCCTGGAACATTAAAAAAATCAACAATACTCTGAAAGCATTCCTTCCAATGGCTAAGTAAGCAGTCGCTGTTGGAAAATGCTGATTCAAAATCCATATGAATCTAAAATTAATTATCCCGTAATATTACTGAACATTCGATTCGATTCAAGCTTCGTACCAATCGATATCCTGTTGGAATTTTGAATTGAGACCATTTCTGCAAGATTTGTCCACAAGTTTCTGCCATTTTTCGTTTAATCTGTAGTTTGTTCATGTCTTCCAATAGTTATCGAATTGCTCCATAGTCAGATTGTCGTATTTGAGAGCCCTTGGGCAATGCCTAATAGGCATGCTTCTCCGTCAGTTTCCAGAACAACAAATTTATATTGATTTAACGAAAGGTATCTAAAAGGTTTGATCCAAAAAGAATCAATGTTTTTAAGAATATCGAACACATCCTTTAGAGAAAAATGATTGTTATGCTTCATTATTCAATATTTTTGTATATTTATCTAAGATGAAGGTACCGGGTCTTTTAGATTCATCATTTAATATTTTCTTGTCGATCTGGTGACCAATAATAGGAATATTTTTAGTTGGTTCATCAATTGATTCAAAATCGTTGTGCTGCCCTATAATAGTATTTGAGCTGGATATGGTCTTCGCTATCAAAATTGTATCCTGTAAATGTTTCCTATTCATGTGCTTTTTTTTGTATAGATTTTGAAACGATTGACAACAACCAATTTCAGCACAATAAAAAATTAAGTTAGTTTTCAAGTCTTTTGGCGCTTGAAATGTCTAATCGTTAACGAACGTGCTACAAAACGATTATGACAAAAAAGCATTGCATAGTGAAATATGTAAATTAAAATGTACTTACCCTTTGGAATTTTATACAAGAAACCAACTTATACTTTACCTTTACATAAAACCCAAATGTATCGAAATCGATTTGCGTAAATAATAAGTATCGCGACGAAACCTCTATATCCTTTACGACGAGACGCCTTCCTTCGCCTAGGTAATTAGGGACTAGACTGGATAAATCTTACAGTTTTGTGAAATTTACCTATTTTCCGGAAATTTTGGTTTTAACCAATAAAATCTATTATATTTTATGTACAGTTTATTAGCTTTATTGCATTTATTGGCCCAACGAATGTATTCATCAGTCAATAAACGTTCTTTAAGTCAATGAATGCATTTATTGCCTCAGAGAAACGTTATATCAGTTAATAATGTAATTAATTGTCCTGACGTTCGTAATATCAATCAAAATATTTTGTTAAACCAATGTACACGTTCATTTATTTATCGAACTAATTCATTAATATAACGAATGCATTTATTGATTAATGCCTAGTATTCATTAATCTAACGAATTTTGTTTATCAATTTACGTAAACGTGCTTGATGTACTTTGTTTATTGGCCCAATGAACTGGATTCAATGGGTCAGTAAAAAAAGTTACTGACTTAGTAGGAAAAAAGTAATGAACAGTAATTCGTTAAACCAATAACCCTGTTGATCAACCAATAAACCCTGATGATTGACTTAACGAATATATTCATTGTGCTAATAAATAAATTTCGATAAATAGTGTTTATTGATATTATTTTCAGTGTTTCAGTGTTTTATGATTTTAATACCTACGCTGTAAGCAAAAGCGATTCCATGCTTACTTTGTAGTCCAGAAGCCGAGTTACAGTTAAATATAGGGAATGTATGTATTAAATACCAAAAATCCATGTAGGAACTATTTAAAGAAAAACCCATTTTCATAGATTCATTTTTAAAAATTGTTTTTATTGATGAGCAATAATATAAGTTTAAAATATAACATTAGCAATTGGATTTTAAATTCTAAGTAAAACTTAATTTTCCTCGTCGGGGTTTTTATGTTTTAAACATACAATCAATGGTGTTGGTGCGTGGTATAATATAATTTATTAAACGATGTCGAAATAAGAACCCAACGTATTTCTGTATTCTTAATTAAAATAGCATTAGTAAACAAACAAAATTTTAAGGGAGAAAAAGGACAATAATACAAACCAAATCGAGTAATCGTTTGATTAAAAATGTATTTAATATGTTTTCTGTAACGTTTCCAATTTTTACGATTGACAAACAAACTACATATATCTGAGGTTAGATAAAACATTTCAAAGATAACACTGTGCTGTTATTGCTTTCCAGACAAAAACCATTTTATGGAACATGAAAAAGAGCCGGTCTGGCGCTGAGAAACAAGAGAAACGACCTTTATATGGCGTCGCGTCGCCCGCTATTTGCACGTTCCAGTCTCATAACCAAGAATTATGACCTATCTGACACTTCGAGCATATTGAAAATCCATTACGAGCGACGGGCGTTTTCCGTTTGTCCTAAATTCATCGAAACCTCGTGCACACGAAAAAGGTTTTAAAACGATTTAACCCTTTCGTACGCTATGTCCACTGGAGTGGACATTTTTTTTAACACCATTTATATTTTTAAATATTAAATATTTTGTCTCAAAAACATGTTGTCCATTATAGCGGACTAGACATAAAACACAGTAGATGACCGTATAATTACTTGACCTCTCTAAAGTAACTTTGTCCATTCCAGTGGATATGTCATATTATGAAAAAAAATAATGAAAATTTTTTTTTTTCAAAAATATCTCAAAATAATACCAATGAATGCAACTATAACGAAAAAAAAATTTTTTTTTCAGTAATTTAAATTTGGCTCCGAAAGGGTTAACTTCCACCTTTTAAATAACATTTAAGTTTTTAGACACAAGTTAAAAGAAACAAAACTGATGGTTTTTAATCAGATGTACCTACAACATTTATAGTTGGGAATTCACAAATTCATTTTAACAATAAATTGTTTACATTTTGTAGATATGTATTAATACAATTTAAGATAATCGTTCAAATATGAATTAAAATATAATTAATCAAATAAAATATGTTTAGCTTTTCATCCATTAAAACATATCACAAAATATTATGTTTGAAGTAAAACTTCACTTCACTTTAGCGAGGTGTCAGAAAATTTCCTGGAAATCCAGTATTAATTAATCCACTTAAGAGGTGAAAAATATTAACAAAAATACATTTGGAACCTATAAAGCAGAATATTAAGATAACTGATGTATAATTAATAATTAATCTACAGTTGAAATGCCTATTATGCTAACACATAGCAAGACGAAGAAGACTGGTTTGGCAACATCAAGGAAGGGTTACACTTGGAAACATTGACACAATGCAAGGCTCAAAACGGACAATTGTTTAGAACCATAACCAATGGAAGACTATCAAACTTGGCAACCATTGACAGATTATGCTACTTAATTATGATGATGTATACTTTGTAATTTACTTGGTTTTATTTTCGATAGTGAATCAGGGCCCGCCAGCCAGGGCCTGAAAATTACAATCAAAATACCGACAACCGATTTTTTACATTTTAGTTATAAAATACAAATAAAATCCCGACAATCGAGATTTCCTTTATTTAAACTAGAAATTCCGGCAAGGACTGCATTTGGATGGGTTGGGTTAAAAAATCCCTGTTGTAGTTTATCCCGTTCGGGGTCATCCATTAATTACGTGAGGTGTTTATGACATCTCACCAAGGTAGGGGGGGGTCGAAAAATCGCCAAAATTGCCTCACGTAATTAATGGACGCCCCCTTTTAAGCTATGTGGGAATCGACATGGAAAATCTTAATCTTAAAACTACGCAAAAAAATAAAATTAAATTAAATTGAAATGGTCTTAAAAAAAATATTTATATTTAAACAAAACTTTTTTAAATTAAGTAGATGCACAACGTACAAAATTTTAAAATCATGTTTGGTTTTAAAATTTGTTAATATTTGTGAGAGATATAACCACTGTAAACCCTGACCGGCCTACTTAAACGTTATATATATACGAAACAAGTCATTAAATTTAATAAAATGTACACAGAAAAAATCTAACATAGTCATTGAATGCATTAAAATTGAAGCAATCTAAATTGTTATTTGCTCAATTAATTACTATTAAACCAAAATATTTTGCCTAAATGTCAAAGAATTTATTGCGTTAAATGTATACATAGTATACATACAAAAGTAACGTTATTAAATAAATCAAATTAGTATTTAATGCAATAACATTCTAACATTCTAACAAATAAATATGAATATGAATATCAATAGATTTAGGAGCGATAACTTTTGTTGTTAATTTAAAAACAGTAAACGATTATAAACCAAGTGCTAACTACCTATTGGTATTATAGGAACTGTTATTCAGGAATACGGATTACAAGATCCCATTGGTTTAATGGCTCACCCATTCATGCTATGCTAGCGTTTTTTCTGTGTATTAATATAATATTGGAGTACAGTACCTACATAACTCCTATATAAATGTTCCAAGTTTGGTCAAAATCGCTGATGTCGAGGCAGCGTTATATTGGAATTCCCTGTATAAACCTTTTTGATAACGATTGGATCCTTTATTAGTATATTCTGTAACAAGTTTGGAATACGTCATATTCCGCTCGAGTGAAAAGTTTGTCACACGAGCCGAAGGCGAGTTTGACGGTTTCACGAGAGGGAAATATGCAATTCCAAACGTGTTTCAGACTATACTTTTTCTACGTTTCCAAAAAATACCATGGAAAAATAATTTAATTGGAAAAAAGTGAGGTTGGATCGGTCTAAAATTTGTTAGATATTAAAAACAGAGATGTCGCCACGAGTGTTTATTCTGTCATCAGATGATAGAATATTTCATTCTGTAACACTTTACGGAATATATGTTATTCCATAGATAAAACTTTTATTATAAAAGTGATATTAGAACGGTCATATTCCATAATAGAAGTAGAAAAAATCTTTTACTGCCTTAAACATATTTTGTATTCCTGATTTTTTATCAAGGTTGTTCATCTAATTTAGATTTAGATTTAGAATACATTCGCGTGATAGAAAAAGATTACTATGCAATCAGTGTATCTATTATCACGCTTAATGAATTGCAGTTTACACTATGATTTAGGTAAACCTCGAGTCGAGGTATACCTAAAGGTCCTCGACAATATAATTGATTTAATAACATTTGAATAAAAAACAATGCCTGGATTTTTTTAAAGTCCGTATTTTTAGCCAATCTAAAAGCTAAGAATTTTTCAAAGTAAACATTTCCATTTCCTTTTGGCAAAACACCAGATTAAAAAAAAATATTTTATAAACCTATCTTTTTATAGATAACATGTTAAATATTATATATTGATGATCAGAAAGTTTGTTATTAAATATTTGTTAATTAATAAATCAACAAATATGTAAACAACAAACTTTAAAATTGTTATTCTGTACATTTACTATTGTGACATCTAACGTAACTTCTATAAACTACTTGGATTCTTGGCAACAGCAATGCGCTAAACTTTGAGTGGAAATTCCTGCCAGCTTGTTTTTCATACAGATGGCGCCAGGCTGGCACACTCAGAAGTAATAAACCGCTGGCGGCAGGAACGGCAAGATCAATAGGATTGGTGCCAAGTTGTCTGAAAATGTAAATAAAACTTTGTTATTACGTATCTTTTTTTCCATATATATTCAGGTCCGTGGATGCCGAGCTTGCTGGTTTTGTGAGACGTAAATTTTCGGATTTTATGATAAAAACATTTTTCTGATTCCAAGATCACCAAATGTTAGATTAAAAATGTATGTGAGATGGGGCGTGCTGGCTATATCAGACCGGCCCGGGAAATTCAGAAAAATCGGCCAACTACACAAGAAAAAGGGGGGGTGAACAAAACCATGTTAAAAAATTTCAAACATTTATTAATATTTAGTATAAATTAAATTCTTGAAAATAAAACAGGCAACAAACACAACCAGACAATATTTTACACAATGCTAAAACCTCGGCTAAAACATATAGCATTGCACTTAAAATAAAAACTAATACAAATTATTATCGCCCAGGAAACTTATAAACAATATACAATCTCGAAAAAAGAAACGTAAACGTCTTTTTATAGCCCGCGGGCTTTATTATGGCCCAGCGGGCTATAATGAAACGTCAAAAATTAAAAACAACAATGTTACACCATTTGATATATTCGAAGTAAGTTTTTTCGTATAAAGATTTTGATTTTACCGGCAGCAGGCCGCAATTTTTCGCCTTTTCAGCTGCTTCCTCAATTTAATTTATCTTTAAACTTTAAAACTGACTGATGTCAGTTGACATTATAATATGACAATTATAACAAAAATTCTTTGACGTAAACGTCTTTAAAAACAATAATATATTAAAAATAATAATATATTAATCGTGCATAAAGTTTTGTATGCATTGCTGGCATAACTGGTTTTTATGGTCCTACGACGCTTTTCTAGCCCTCGCGCTAACGCGCTCGGGCTCGAAATAGCGCCTCGGACCATAAAAACCTTATTATGCCCTTAATACATAAATAACTATTACACCATATCTTTCAAGCTTATATAATATATCTTATAAATGCCTTGACTTAAGCAGTCTTAAACGCTTCTAAAATAATTTTAATAAAGGTAATTACCGCCGTGATTGTTGATTTTCCCTTTATATATCCTTGCTAATTAAAAGTATATAAAAAATATAATAATTTTTCAGCAATAACCATTTTAAAGGTTTTTGAAAAGGAGGAAAGCATACTTATAAATTTAAATAATTTGTTTTTAATTTTTGGGTATGAAATGTATGTAATAATAAAATATAATAATTTATATTAGTACTTAAATTGAATTGGTCTATTTCCAATTTAAATTTGATTCTTCCCAAATAAAAATTGATTAGTCGCAATTTGAAATTTATTAGGACTAAACTAAATATAATTATTTCCAATTTGATTTTGTTAATTCCTACTTTGATTTTGTTAGTTCCCAACTTAAAGTTGTTTAGTCCCAATTTGAAGTTGAAAAGGTATAGTTGAAATAATTACAGGCCAATAAGCTTATTGGCCTGTAATTATTTCAACTATACCTTTTCAACTTCAAATTGGGACTAAACAACTTTAAGTTGGGAACTAACAAAATCAAAGTAGGAATTAACAAAATCAAATTGGAAATAATTATATTTAGTTTAGTCCTAATAAATTTCAAATTGCGACTAATCAATTTTTATTTGGGAAGAATCAAATTTAAATTGGAAATAGACCAATTCAATTTAAGTACTAATATAAATTATTATATTTTATTATTACATACATTTCATACCCAAAAATTAAAAACAAATTATTTAAATTTGCATATCAGCCATGTTTAGTAGGGTGGAGTGAAAAGGTCGA